TCACATCTTTTATATAAAATATGCAAATATACTTACTATTAATTTACTGTGCAATTCTCCTTTTACTGTGCTATACAATAAAATGCTACCAACTGCTGTGCCAAGAGCCAACAAGTCAACCTGGTCATTCGTTCCTATAACTTCTGATTTCCTTTTTTTCCTCTGATGACTTTCCTGGAAAAAAAAATAAGATTTTAGCTACTTAGTATTTCAAATACACACATACACACCAAAATATCACTAATACATTAGCCCTCAAAGGCACTTTTGAAGTTTCCTGGCCCACCTCCCACCCCTTCAGAAAGAGGTCAGACTACAAACTACCACTTCCTATGCTCTTAATGCTCTCCTAACAGACATGACAGCCTCAACACTTTTTCTACTTCTCAAACACTAACAAGTCTTCCTAGCAGATCCCAGGAAAGCCTCCCCTCCTCAAGCAGAGATCCACAAGGGTTTATCCATAAATCCAGGGACGGGACACGACAATGACCAGACGGCCAGAGGTCTGACTGATTCTGGTTAGCAATTAAGCAATGGCTTTTCAGACTGAGACTACAGAATCAGAGTTTGCATACATACACAGAGACTTCGCCTCACCATTTCCTTACCTTTCCATTCTAGCCACTAATGGATCAAATTTGGTCTTAAAAAATGACCTCTAAGCCAGGCGGTGGTGGCGCACACCTTTAATCCCAGCACTCGGGAGGCAGAGGCAGGTGGATCTCTGTGAGTTCAAGGCCAGCCTGGTCTACAGAGAGTTCCAGGACAGGCTCCAAAACAATACAGAGAAACTATCTCAAAAAACAAAAGACCTCTAGACACTTAAAATTATGCTGTTTTTTTTTTTTTTTTTTTTTTTTGGTTTTTCGAGACAGGGTTTCTCTGTATTGTTTTGGAGGCTGTCGGTACTGGGATTTAAGCCGTGCGCCACCACCGCCCGGCCTATGCTCAATTTTTAGTAAGCAGTTTAAATCTATTTCTTGGCCTGTTTTAATGTACTCTGACATGTATTTCATAGATAAGAATTTTAAAAAGCATATATTACAAAGTCACAAATACATCAAATGTTCTTCTGCTTCTGCCACTAGGATCTAACATGCAACCTTTACCTTCTTTTGACTCTTAAATACTTGAGGCCTCTTGACATGAACGCAGCTGAATTGTGCTGACTCTCGAAGAGATGGCTATGAAGACAGCCCAAATTCTTCCTAGCAACATCAACCAGTGTTTCAGCCCCATCCCACCTAGTGCCTGCAGTGAGTGCCATGTCCTTCAGTCACCTCTCCACCAAGCAGCACGGACCGTGGTGGCCGACATCAGACACAGCATGCCTGACTGCCAGGAAACGTCTGGAGAGAGGTGGGGGAGCAATCAGGATCAATTCCTAGGTGGCTTGATTGTGTGGCTCCAGTCTGCCCCTAGCATGACAGCTTCTGATCACAAATCTAAACCAGAGATCCATAACTTAAAGGCCTTATGATCACTCTGGAAACAGGGAAAAGCAATCTAGCTTCTTCAAACATTTATGAACCATTACTATAACCCACTGTCCAAAAAACAAAAGAGCATGAATTTATCATTCTCTGCTGATAGAAGGGAGTATCACCATATATTGTCCTAGTGGCAAACTGCCGATTACTAAACCAAGTGCAGGACACTCTTATGAACTTATTTACATTGGAGGATACAGCACCGCCTGAGTCCAGACAGAACATTCTGATCCACAGAATAAGCACTGTCTATGGACCAGGTCTTACAACGATCATACACTGCCTCATTTAATGCTAAGGGCTCTGAAGTATAACGGTGTTATCTCTACTTCCACACTGGAGACTAAGTCCCATGCCAAACCTTTACCAAAATGCTGGGGACATGGGCATCATAATATATTTTTCACATCTCTAAAGACTCAAAAATCTGAAGTAAAATGGGTTTGGTAAGGAAAAATCATCTTAGTATTTAAAATAGCAGGGCACACAATCCAGGAGCCTAAAGCAAAAGGTTGAGCAGCTGCCACAAACTTTGATCCATATCCTACCATAATCAACCCCCATCACAAAGCCAAACCTGTATGAAATATATACAAATTCAATACAAGAAAACTGCCACTCCAATTTTCCAAGTAAAACTGATGCAGTAGTCAAGTCAGTCAGTAGATAACATACCCAAGATAGGAACTGATTATCTCTGCAGTCATCCTTGCTCTCAATTCCTTTACTAAAGTCAAGGGTAATAGTGTAAGGGCACTGGACTGGGAGTCAGAGTACAGGATCCTAGTACACTGCTTATCAATGATCAAGGCTTTGGTTAAAGCCATTTAGCTTTGAGCCCTGACTCTCAATCAAGTGTTGTCAACTTTCCTGCTTTATTTATTTATTTATTTATTTATTTATTGGTGCCTAAGACTTTTTTCTGAGACAGGGTTTTTCTGTGGCTTTGGAGGCTGTCCTGGAACTAGCTCTTATAGATCAGGCTGGTCTTGAACTCACAGATTTTCGTGCCTCTGCCTCCCAAGTGCTAGGATTGAAAGCATACGTCACCACAGCCCGGCTGGTGCCTAAGATTAAATCCAGGGCTTGGAAAGTATTCTTTTTTTTTTTTTTCTTTTTTTCCGAGACAGGGCGTCTCTGTGTAGCTCTGGCTGTCTTAGAACTCACTTTATAAACATTTAGGGGCATAGCCGGGTGTTGGTGGCGCACGCCTTTAATCCCAGCACTCGGGAGGCAGAGGCAGGTGGATCTCTGTGAGTTCAAGGCTAGCCTGGTCTACAAAGTGAGTTCCAGGACAGCCTCCAAAGCTACAGAGAAAAAAAAATTTTAGGGGCAGGGACTCTGGATATGCTAATCATATGTTCTTCTGCACTATGCACCTCCAGCACACCACACTGGCTTCATAACCAGGACTCAACTAAGATGTCCTGTCTGTCATATAAAGTTGCTTTAATTGGAGGAGCTTTGTCAAAAAATAAAGTTGGGCTTGTTTAAAAACCAATTTTATTCCTACTGTATCAAAGTAAATGAATATATAAAGTCCAAACCATGATTTTTGGAACTTGGGTTTTGTTCTGGGGCATACAGGATTGGAAGTCAACAGGAAAGCCAAGTGGATGAGGTTTCAGCCAATCTAGTATTAACTATTTGTTGCAGATGACCAAGAACTGGACTTTCAAGACCTGAGTTCCAGGCCTAGTTCCTGTTAAGTTTTATTGGAATTGGGTACTTTTACGTACCACGTAGGACTAGCTATATAAATATAAGATATTAATACCAGTGGTAATTAGCACTGCCCTTAAAACACTGGATACTAAGTGATTTTGCATTATTAGATATACTACCTTTCACAACTACTCTATGAAGTAGGTATGACTGATGTAGGAACAAAAGGCATGATTATTAGAGAGGCTGGACTCGGGTTTTACAGCCGTCTGTGTGCATGTACTCACCTAGCCACTGTCCTGTCTGTTTCTCTGAGTGTTAGTACTCTCACCCCTCTTACAGCACTGTTACAATTGCAAAGAAAACTTCATAAAGGAAAAACGTACTCCAATTCTGATAATGACAGTTACATAGCTTTTTCACAAGTCTATGATTATGTTTTGATTCACAGGGCCTGATTGAGAGCTCTTTGTCACCAAGGGAAATTGAAAATGCAGCATAAAATCTGCTAAGTAGCTAAACATACTCACCCAACGTAGAGCAAGTTAAGAGACAAGCCCAACAACTTTCAACCCAAAGATTTAAGGGTAAGTTTTCTTTGGTGATGGGACGTTAGCTATCCCAAACACTAACTTTCTAACTTGTACACCCGTGACATCAAATCGTCACATCCATCAGGATACTTTCCAGTACCAGATCACACAGAAGTGATTTCTTCTGCCTACCCACTGCCTAGCTGCAGCTACCACGTGCGGGTTAGGGTTAGAGATGCAACCGAGTGACTCAACAGTGAACAGCATTTACCTGACAGTGAAAAGGATTCCCTAACTCCGCAGTTTCCCAATTACGGGGGAAAAAAAAACCACTGGGGCGTGCATCATACGCATTAAACCAGGCGGTTCTACGACTACTTCATTTCTTCACTTTGCCTCTGCATCCTATGCAGACCTCAGGACCAGACGGGAAAAGTTAGAAAGACGGAACTGAGCATAAATTAAACAGCTCAGAATGAAAGGAAGGGCCAGGAAAGTAAAGAGCGTGCGGGTGTGAGGATCCCAAAACCTACAGGCAGAAGAGAACACGTGTTGAACACGCATCCGAGTAAAGGGGCTCCCGTCCCGGAAGGAAAACACGACTTGCGCATTCCAACCGCCCAAAGCAAAACCAATACCCCGGGTCTGGGATGCGGAAGAGCGAGACTGTCCCGGGGTATTCAGACAGCCGCTCTGATGCGGGCACGATGAGGGGCCAGGCCTGGAAGCGTGAAGCCGCCCTCCCCGGGAGTGGGGGAGGCAAGGGCTTCGGTGAACATGGCGGCCGAGCGAAAGCCGGGCGCAGACCTCACGGAGACGGCGGGATCGGGCCGCACCCTCGCTCGCATCGCCCCCTCGGGACAGGCCGCACTCTCGGCCGCAGCGCGGGGCCAAGTGAGGGGCGCCGCCGTCCCGCTCCGCGCTTCCTCGCCCCGGGCGCCCCGGACGCCCCGGGCGGCGCGCGCCACGGTGCCGCGCGCCACTGAGCCCGGGACGCCGCAGCCCGGCCAGGAAGGCGCCCTCCCCGCCGCCGTCCCGCTCACTCTACCTTGGCCTGCAGCCGCGCTGGCGCCCAGGCCAGGCAGGTGCAGGTACCGCTGAGGTGCGCGGAAGGCACGTACTCCTGGTGCAGACGGTTGCTGGCTGTCTCCCACACGCGCAGGTGGCCGTCGCTAGAGGCTAAAGCGAAGTAGGCCTGACCGTCCGGCGAGAAGGCGCAGGGGACCCCCGCCGGGGCCAAGGGGTCGCAGCTACCGCCGCCACCGGCCGCCATTGCTGCTCTGGCTCCGCGGCAGCCACGTGTTCGCCCATGCGCAGGCGCACCGGGCCGGGGCGGGGCCTGAAGGGAGGAAGTGGGGCGGAGGGAACGCTGGGAGCCCAGGGAGTGGCTGATGGTGACGCAGGAGAGCCTCGAGCAGGGCCCACCCTGTGGACGGTGGCTCGTTTGGGCCTTTCTTAACTTGCTTCTGAGGTTCAGGAAGCAAAGAGTGGGGAAGTAATAGCATACTGCAGGACAAGGCCCTTCTTTTTAAAGTGTGTCCCGTGAAATGACTTGACGAAATGTTTAAATGAAATATATGTACTTACATCTCCAAGACTGTGACAACTGTTTCCATCTTCCTTTAGTCTCTTCAAGGATGTAGCCATGTGCATGTGTTAATTATCCAATCACAGTACTATCAAAGTAACAGTTGGGCCTTGGAGAAGAAAGGTGCCTATTTTGGCTACATTAACACACAGATGCTATCGGGAACGAAGGGAGGTCGAGTTGAATGCCAACGAAGAAGCGATGCGTGGAGGCACACGCCTTTAATCCCAGCGCTGGAGATGCAGGGCAGTCGGATCTCTGAGTTCGAGACCGCCCTAGTCTACAAAGAGAGCACCAGGACAGCCAGGATACACAGAAAAAGCCAGGGTTTCTCTGTATTGTTTTGGAAGCTGTCGGTCCAGCCCGGCCTCGAACTCACAGAGATCCGCCTGCCTCTGCCTCCCGAGTGCTGGGATTAAAGGCGTGCTCTACCACCGCCCGGCTAGGCACATGCCTTTAATACCAGCACTCACTCAGGAGGCAGAGGCAGGCGGATCTCAGTGAGTTCGAGGCCAGCCTGGTCTACAGAGTGAGTTCCAGGACAGCCAGGGCTACACAGAGAATCCCTCTCTCAAAAAAACGATAATGGAGAATTCTGTCCCGAAGGCCTGGGATGTAGCTCAGTATACAGCAAGTCTAGCTTTACCAAGACCCCGCTTCAGTCCTTGGAACCACAAATAATATTTTATACTAAAGTTCTGCCCTAGAGCCTTTGGAGGGAGCCTGGTCATACTAAAGCCATGGACTTATGGTGTCCAGGCTGTGAGCAAACACATATCTGTTGTTAGCAGTGGCATGTTTACAATAGTCTGTGGCAGCAGCTCTAAGAAACAAAGATTTCTGAGGGATTTCCCAAAGTCAACACACTTAAATCAGTCCCCACCTTTGGAAATGTTTACAGTGTGAAAAATGCATCTTCCTTCCTTCCTTCCTTCCTTCCTTCCTTCCTTCCTTCCTTCCTTTCTCTCTTTCTTTCTCCCTTCCTTCCTTCCTTCCTTTCTCTCTTTCTTTCTCCCTCCCTTCCTTCCTCCCTTTCTTTCTTTTGGGGGGGGGTGGTTTATTGAAACAAGTTTCTCTGTAGCCTGTCCTGGAACTCACTCTATAGACCAGGCTAGCCTCAAACTCACAGAGATCCGCCTGCCTCTGCCTCCCGGGTGCTGGGATTAAAGGAAAGCACCACCACCATCCAGCTTAAAAGTGTATGTCTTAAAAATTAGTAGATTACGCCGAGCGGTGGTGGCGAACACCTTTAATCCCAGCACTCAGGAGGCAGAGGCAGGCGGATCTCTGTGAGTTCGAAGCCGGGCTGGACCAACAGCCTCCAAAACAATACAGAGAAATCCTGTCTCGTAAAACCAAAAAAAAAAAAAAAAATTAGTAGATTACAACAACCTCTAAGAAATAAAAGGGGGCTAGAGATGGCTTAGTGGGTAAGACCACTTGCTGTTCTCGCCCGGGACCTGGGTTCAGTTCCTAGTACCCACATGTCTCCCAGCAGCCTATGACTCCAGTTCCAGATGATCTGATGCCCTCTCTGTACTTCAAAGACACCTGCATGAATGTCGTGCATTTAGATCCATAACTCTCATACACATAAAATGAAAATAAAGAGAGGGCCAGGCATGGTGGTCCAGACCTTTAAAACAATGAAAGAAGGAAAAGAACTGCATCACTGAAACCAAACCAGAATTCTTTCCTTCCTTCCTTCTTTCCTTTCTTTTAAAGATTCATCATTACCACCACCACCATCATTATTATTATTTTATATATGTGAGTGTTTTGCCTGCACAAATGTGTACACCACACTTGTGTGTCACAGAGAAACCAGGAAAGGGTGTTAGATCCCTGGAACTGGAGTTGCAGACAGTTGTAAAGCACCGTGAGGGCGCTGGGAACTGAACTCAGGTCCTCTAGAAGATCAATAAATACTCTTACCCACTGACCTATCTCTCCAGATCCCCTTAAATTTTATGTGTCATTTTATTTTTAATGCATCTGAGTGTTTTACTTGCATGTATGTGTGTACACCATGTGCGCGCAATGCCAATGGAAGCCTGGAGAGGGTGTCAGACCCCCTGAACCTGGAGTTGCAGATGGGTGTCAAGCACCATTTGGGTGATGGGAACTGAACTTGGATTCTCTGGAAGAGCAGTCAAGGCTCATGACTACGGAGTCACCTCTCCAGACCCCTTTGCTTCCTTCATTTCTTCATGACTAAGGAGTCACCTCCCCAGACCCCTTTGCTTCCTTCATTTCTTCATAACTACGGAGTCACCTCTCCAGACCCCTTTGCTTCCTTCATTTCTTCCTTTTTCCCTTCAGGAGTGAATTTCCGACTTGATAGAGAAGCACAGGGCTATAACCTCAGACCACAATTTTGTTTTGTTTTGTTTAACCTAACATGTTTTTTGTTTTGTTTTGTTCTTCAAACAGAAGCTCTATGGGTAAAGGCAACAACAAGCTTGAGGACATGAGTTTGAACCCCAGGACCCACATGGTAGAAACTGAGAATCAACTCCTGCAAGTTATCTTCTGACATCCACATACAAGTCCCCTCTCCCTCCCCCTCCTCTTCTCCCTGTCCCTTTCTTTCTTTTTTTATATTTTTATTTTATGTGCATTGATGTTTTGCCTGCGTATATGTCTGTGTGAGGATTCCAGATCTGCTGGAACTGGAGTTATAGACAGCTGTGAGCCGCCATGTGGGTGCTGGGAATTGAACTCAGGTCCTCTGGAAGAGCAGTCAGTGCTCTTAACCACTGAGCCATCTCTCCAACCCTCCCTGTCCCTTTCTATCTCTCTCTGTAATTAAAAAAAACTTTTTTGAGGGGGGGGGACGCTCAAGGCAAGGTTTCTCTGTGTAATAGCCCTGGCTGTCCTGGAACTCACTTTGTAGACTAGGCTGGCCTTGAATTCACAAAGATCCATCTGCCTCTGCCTCCAGAGTGCTGGGATTTTTAGGCATGTGCCACCACCACTCTGCTCAACTTAAACAACTTTTAAGAAAAGATTTTCCGCCAGGCGTTGGTGGCGCACGCCTTTAATCCCAGCACTCGGGAGGCAGAGGCAGGTGGATCTCTGTGAGTTCGAGGCTAGCCTGGTCTACAAAGCGAGTTCCAGGACAGCTTCCAAGACAATACAGAGAAACCCTGTCTCAAAAAACCAAACAAAAAAAAAAAAAAAGAAAGAAAGAAAAAGAAAAAAAGAAAAGATTTTCCCAGAAGCAAAGAACGTGAAGTTCTAAACTGAAAGTACTTGGGAAACAAAGCCCATCTCTCTTAAAATGGTCTTGAGCCAACATTTTTTCCAAAACACATGGTCACCAAGCATATGAGATCTTCAACAGTATAGAGGTTCCTCAAAAAAAAAAGTTAAAAATAGAACTATCATATGGTCTTTCAATTCCATCTGGGAAGATATGAGAAAGAAGTGAATTCAGGCTACCACTGAAAATTGTCCACTATAGGCAAAATACAGAGATAATTTAAATGAGTGAATGAGTGAATACAGGAACTGTGTATATGCATTGAGAGTGATATTTAACCTTTAGCAAGAAGACGTGCCATGCTGTCTGCCATGACATGGATGAACCTGGAGGCCTTATATCAAGTATGGACGTCAACCACAGGACAAGCATGCAGGTTTCACCTGTGTGACATCTAAAATGGTCTATTGTGTAGAAACTGAGTCGAATGATTGTTAGAGAGGCAAGGGGAGGAAAACTGAATAAGAGAAAATAAGGACTAGCTGGGCGTTGGTGGTGCACGTCTTTAATCCCAGCACTAGGGAGGCAGAGGCAGGCGGATTTCTGTGAGTTTGAGACCAGCCTAGTCTACAAGAGCTAGTTCCAGGACAGGCTCCAAAACAATACAGAGAAACCCTGTCTCGAACAACAACAATAAAAAAAAATTCAATTAGATGATTCTGGGAAAATACATGCATAGTTGAGGGTTAGGAGCAAAAAATAGGGTGAAACAGCTAAATCTCAACTGCAGCATGGAAAGTCAATAATAAATGATTAATATTATTGAGGAATCCATAACTACAAATGAAAGAATATTATTGAGTAATATAGTAACTTTGGAAAACTCAAATGTAAGCAACAGGAGTTTATTATTCAAGAAAACCTCCCAGAATTCATTCTTTATAGAATGTTTTGGAGAAAATTAAAAATAAGTATTGAGCCGGGCATTGTTGGTGCATGTCTTTAATCCCAGCACTCGGCAGGCAGAGGCAGGCGGATTTCTGTGAGTTCGAGGCCAGCTTGGTCTACAGAGCGAGTTCCAGGACAACCTCCAAAACAATACAGAGAAACCCTGTCTCAAAAAACCAAAAAAATAAGGATTTACATAAAAGATGCATGGGGCTTATGAGTCCCTGAGTCCTGGCTGTGCAGATCCTATGCTCTTAGAACTTGTCCAAAGAACGGTGTCATGTAGAGTAATATCTCCAGCACACGGCATGCTCTCCACAAACGACATCGAATCAGAATCTTTCTGTCTCTTTGACTTTCTGAAGTTCATTGTTCTCCACGTCCTTCCTGGTAAAGTAAAAGCTGTGTCTCTTCCTAGTTGGGATGATAATGGATTCCAGAAATTTGAAGAAAGAAAATAGGAAATACTTCCTAAAAAGCTACTGACATTTACACAGATGTGTCCGTTTAAGGAATGTGAGAGCACAAATTTTGGGATCCTCTCATCTGGTCTATGAGCAGAGAAACTGTTATGCCCAGTAGTTAAGTGACTTTGGAGAGACCATTGGTTTGTTTTCCTATTTCACAATGCATCACAAGTAAACATATTTTGCAGGCAAGTCACCTGGAAGAAAGAAATACTATGACTGTTTTGTAACTTTCCCTCATCCATTCCTTCAGGACTCACGACAGGACCTCAGGAATACAATATGGAATAATGAAGTCTGCTCTTGGAATTCAAAACCAGACTGAAGTCTAGGAAAGGACACTGTAGCCAAATAATTTATCTGTGGAGATGAGGGAAAACCCAAGGCGAACAGAAAGTAGTCTAGAATGGAGGGACATCAAAGAAGTGCTTGCTCTCTGAGGAAACGTGTGGAAGATATTTCAAAGGACACTGTTTCTGCTCATAGAGTGTCTTATGTGGTTCCTCTTTTTAAAATTTTACTTATAAAGACAAATAACAAAATTAGAAGTATTGCAACCCACCAATGTTTACAGGATGGTTCTATGCTCAAAGCAGAATATGATAAACACAAAAGAAATATAAGCAAGAGCTAGAGAGATGACTCAGAGGTTCAAAGCACTTGCTGCTCTTATAGAGAACCTCAGTTCGGTAAACACAAAAGAAATATAAGCAAGAGCTAGAGAGATGACTCAGAGGTTCAAAGCACTTGCTGCTCTCATAGAGAACCTCAGTTCGGCTCTAGCATCTACATGGCGGCTCACAACTGTCTGTAACTCCAGTTTCAGGGGATCTGATGCCATTTTCTGGCCTCTGAATACACCAGGAACACAGGAGACATACAAGGCAAAATATTCATATACAGAAGTCTCAGTCTCTCTCTCTCTCTCTCTCTCTCTCTCTCTCTCTTTGTTTTTGTTTTTTTTTTTTTGTTTGTTTTTCAAGACAGTGCTTATTTGTGTACCCCTGGCTGTCCTTAAACTCACTCTGTAGACCGGATTGTCCTGGAACTCAGAGATCTGCCTTCCAAGTGCTGGGATCAAAGGCATGAGCCACCACCACCTAGCTAATCTTTTTTTTTTTAAACAGTAACATAAGAAAATTATTACAGAAATTTAAAGAAATGTTCATTTTTGAGACACAAAATGAGATAATTTAAGAAACATGAATAAAAAATTTCCCAGTGGTGGTGAGGCTTGAACTCAAGACCTGCAATTAACTATTGAGCAGCTACACTCCCAGATTATGAGTGGGGTTTATTTTTCATATTTAAAAGACTTTTTTATTTTTATTTTTGTGTGTATGGGTGAATGCCTACATACATGTCTGTGTACCACATGCCATGTCTGAGTGCTGGGGGGATCTGCCTGTCTCTGCTTCCCTAGGATCAGAATTATATACCCATCATGCCCTGCTTTAAAAAAATCTGAGTCAGGTGGTGCTGGCCCACGCCTTTAACACCTTTAATCCCAGCACTCTGGAGGCAGAGGCAAGCAGATCTCTATGAGTTTGAGACCAGCCTGGTCTACAAGAGCTAGTTCCAGGACAGCCTCAAAGCCACAGAGAAACCCAGTATCGAAAAACCAAAAAAGAAAAAAAAATCTGGGGGAGGGGAACACTTGCTACAAAATACGTGTAGTTGTCAGAGGTAGGAAAGCCTGTTCTTTCCTCTCTCTCTCTGTCTCTCTCTCTCTCTGTCTCTCTCTCTCTCTCTCTCTGTCTCTGTCTCTCTCTCTGTCTGATTCTGTCTGTCTCTGTCTGTCTCTGTCTGTCTCTGTCTCTGTCTCTGTCTCTGTCTCTGTCTCTCTCTCTCACTCTGGTTGTCCTGGAACTAGTTCTATAGACCAGGTTGATCTGGAACTCACAAAGATCTGCCTGGTTCTGCCTCTCCAGTGCTGGGGTTAAAGGTGAGCACCACCACCTCCCGGCCTGTTCTTTCATCCTATGGGTTCCTGGGATTGAAATCTAGTCATCAGTCTCTGGGGTGGGCACCTTTATCTACTGAACCATCTCGATGCCCACCTCTCTTTTAAACGGGTTCTGGAAATCAAACTCGGAGACCCCTGTTCTTACAGCAAGCATTTTACACACTGGGCTATTGGAAAATGTGTCTGGTACAATCAGCAAGGGCTGTTGAAGTTGGCTGATGTAGTTGGAAATTTCGCACTCCATTTTTCAGCTATCTTGTCAGAGACCTTGCTTAAGTCACTTAATCTTCCTCTTGAATTGTAAATTTTCAGTATTCCAGCATGGTACTGCACGATTCTCAATAAACACGTGCCTAGGGATCAAGCAGACAGGCCAAGGATATTTAACTTTGGGTGCAAACGGTAACTTCAGTTTTAAGAAACATCTATTTAGTTTGGGGGAAGGTAGGCTAATACAATTGTGTTGTTTGACTTTTTTTTTTTTAAAGAATTCTGTTGTATAAAAACACAAGTGATGCCAGGCAGTGGTGATGCACACCTTTAATCCCAGCACTTGGGAGGCAGAGGCAGGCGGATCTCTGTGAGTTCGAGACTAGCCTGGTCTACAATAGCTAGTTCCAGGACAACCTCCAAAGCCACGGAGAAACCCCGTCTCGAAAACACCAAAAAAGAACACAGGTGAATAGTGTCACTTTTTACTTAGTTTGTCGCTCTGGTCTTTGGCAGTTCTACACTTCGCTATAGAGACTATGCTGGTGGATTTAAAGACACGTGCCACCATATCTGGCCTCAGTTAGTTCTCAAAAAATAAACAAACAAAAACGGGAAGGGGGCACCTGGATTTGAACCAGGGACCTCTTGATCTGCAGTCAAATGCTCTACCACTGAGCTATACCCCCGCTGGCCACTAGAGTCTTCCTCCACATTTGTGGACACTCGGGATCTCGGGCTGAAGACGGACAGGCAATCTCTAGGCTTTCGAAAAGGACTTGAGAGTTATCTGCAAGGTGTGCGGGTCACCAAGCAGTGTGATCCACGACATCAGACCAGCGAATCTCAGGGCTAGTTTACTTTTGCCTCTTGGGGGGGATAGGTGACGTTTCCCGTTCACCGTCACTAGTGACTTTTAAACCTGGTAGAAGACGTTCCAGGTTGCACAGTCTCTACATGTCTCCTTCCCTGGTGCTCCTGTCCCCGAGCAGCTGGCGGTGGCAGCTGAGCCGTAACCTCTGTACTCTCGCCACGCGGCAGAAGAAGCAGGAATTTTAGCTCCAGAGACAGTCCCTTGAGCCCCGGGAACAACGAGCCTCAGGCTCCGCCCACCGGGTCTGCGGGACGCGGCCGGAGGGACGCAACTCTGCCTGCGAAGCCGGTGAGTGACGCCGCGTGCAGGCTGCCCGAAACCAGGCCAGGGGCTTGGGCTGCGTCACACGTGTGCGACAGCACCTGCGCCGCTGCTCTTCCTTGTTGAGGCTGCGGCGCCTCCCGGGGTCGGTGGAAGCTGGGGGTCGACTCATCCCCGGCGGACCTCGTGGTAGTGTCTTCAGAGGGAGCTCGGCTCCGCTGCTGCGAATCCTGGAGGTGCGCGGCGAGCGTGTGCGCGGGTCGTCCCCGCCTCCTGCTCCGGTGTCCGAGGAAACCCTCAGGCTGTGGACTTTGCGAAGTCATCACCCCCCCCCCCGAGATCGGGGGGCGTCGCGTGCTGTCCGTGGTGGCCCAGTCGGCGACCGAGCCCGGAGCACTTCACGTTTCCTCTTCTTGCTCCCTTCCAGAGGGACCCCTTCGGTCGGGGAGCTTATTTTAGCTCAGACGGGGGAAAAGACAAACGCAGTTTAAGAAATTATTTCGTCTGTGCAACGCCGGACACTTTGATAGGAACTGGGGGGTGGGCACTCCCGTTCAGCGAGATGGTGGGCAAGTTCCCCGGCCAGAACTCTGGTAAGAGTTTTCCGCTGCAGAGGCCAGCTTCGCCGGGCTTCCCGTGAGGTGTCCAGAGGTATTGCGATGGGGATTAGGTGGGTGTGGGTTCCAGGAAGGGCAAAGACGGGCGCAGTACCCAGTCTGATGAGTGTTCTCATCATGCCACCAAACGTTGGAAATTTTAAAACATGTTCAGGTGTTGATAATTTTAGAAAGAAACTGAGTTTGAATTTGATAGTCCCCACTCCCTTCTCTAAAATGAAGATTATGCCAGTTTTGTGTTAGAGTGATGTGGGCTTGTTAAACAGAGATGTACTCGTTTGTTCCCCACAGCTCTTAAATGAGTTCAGTACTTAACAGAATGTTGACTGGGGGTAAATTTTGCAGTACCATTTTGACAGTATTTTTTTTTAAATATTTGGTGTGTTTTCGAGCGTGCCTGCATATATGCGTGCTTGTGAGCTGCAGTCAGAGTGTGGAGTTCAAAGAATAAGTCAGAATAACTCTCCCAAAGTCTGTTCTCTTCTGCCACCTTGTGGGATCCTGGAATCAAATTCAGGTTATCAGACATGTCCACAGTGTATCTACTGGCTATCTTGCAGGCCCCGTGGCAGTATTTTAATAATAATACTTAGTAAGGTATGTTACTGGAAGTGTATTTTATCACATATATTAGGGTTAGGGATGTAACTCGGCTGTAGAGCGCTTGCCTAGAATGCATCAAAAAATCCTGCATTCTGTTCCGTTCTTTTTCTTGGGAGATGCACATAAATGGCTATTCCCCCACATGGGACACCAACAGACCGAAGAAACGATTCCAGCCAAGCCTAGTTTGGTGAACCAATGAGATTATTAGGATTAAATACTGATGCGTGGGGTGTCAGAGATGGTCTTCCTGGAAAAGCCCCATGGTGACTGCCTTCTAAAGCCACATCAATGGAGTCCCAGCCCCAGGAAACCTTTCACCCCTTATATTCTATGCCACTCCTAATAACCACGTGAATCCGCAGTTTGGACTTGGACAAGTTGGGTTCTTGTGAGTGAAACTCACCACTACCCCACTTCAAGGATCGAATGTTAATAGACCCGTCCTTGGGATATTTTGAGGTCTCACTGGGTAATAGCAGATATATTGATTTCAATACTACAAAGGTGTTATCTGCCTAGAGGATGGAGTTCTACTAGCCTGACATAGTGGTGCATGCCTTTAGCACCTAGCAGGCAGAGACAGGAAAATCGCTGTGAGTTTGGGCCAGCCTGGTCTACATAGCAAGGTTCCAAACTCTCTAATTATAATTCTAAATTAAAAGTTCATCATTTCTTTCTTTTTTTTTTTTTCCAAGACAGGGTTTCTCTGTGTAGCCCTGGCTGTCCTGACTCTGTAGACCTCAAATTCAGAGATCCATTTGCCTCTGCCTCCCAAGTGGTGGGATTAAACATCACCACCACTGGCTTCAATTTCTTGATAAAGTTGCTCTTTTTGCTTACATTAAAAAATTTTGTCATTTCAAGAAAAAGGTGTCTAATAACTTCATAACTGATTTTCTGATCTCTCATGTATTCCCTTGCCATATCAATCTTCATAAAAAGCCCTTTCTGTTGCCTCAGTGACGTGCCCTAACTGCTTACCAGGCCTAGTTCAATGCCTCAGGCTGACTTTTAAGTCTCTGTCTTCTGTCAGAAAGTGCTTATTCTCCTTGTGCTATGCTTAAAGCTGTTCTGCTATCTACTGCTGGGAGGTGGTGGTCTATAGAGCTAATTCCAGGACAGCCAGGGTTACACAAAGAAACCCTGTCTCTACCATGATTATTTTAACTCTCCACTCTTGTCTTTAAGCAAAAAAGGAAAAAAAGCTGTACTTGCCATAATTATTTTCCTTAATTCTCCACTCTTGACTGCTGCTTTCTGCTACCTCTGAGCCCAACGGCATTTATCTGTAATTTCTAGTTGGTTCTGAAGTGCTGCTGTATTTGCTAATTGTGGTTAGAGAAAGTGGCCTCCAAAGAGAGTGGCAAGAGTAAGAGGTGTAGATTTGTTGAAGTAGGTAGGGCCTTGTTGAAGAAAGTGTGTCACTATGGGGGTGGTCTTTGAGGTCTTCCATGCTTAAGATTCTGCTCAGTGTCTCAGACCACTTCTTGTTGCCTGTAGGTCAAGGTGTAGGACTCTCAACTCGATCTCCAGCACCATGTCTGCCTGCACACACCATGCTGTACCATGATGATAATGGACTGAACCTCTGAAAATGTAAGCCATCCCAATCGAATGTTTTTCCTTTATAAGAGTGCCATGGTCATAGTGTCTCTTCATAGCAATAGAAACCCTAAGACACTGATTTTTGAATTTTTATTTTATTAAGCAAAATGTTAGTTCTTGGGCAGGGCCAGAGTCCAATCCACTTTTGATTCATTTTTTATTTTTTCCCTGACATTGGTGTATAAGAATGGGTCTTGACAGGTATTTATGAGTCATTCACACTGTATTCCGTCATAGGATATAAATGATCTACTGATGATGGGCATCAACCCAGGGGACACTGTTTTGGAAACAGACTCAGGCTATGGTGAAATGAGCTTATTTTTATCCAAAGCATGTAAGATTAGAGTAACTAAAGGAGGTCATGGACCAGGGAAGACATGATCTCCAGAGCCCACAGCCAGTCTAATAGAAGCAGTGAGCTCCAGGTTCAGTGAAGAGACCTTGTCTCAGAAAATAGGTGGAGGGCAGTAGAGGAGGACACCCAGTGTCAACCCCTGACCTTCACCTGCACGGGTGTACTCTCCAGGAACATATACAGACATTTATACACACACATGGAAGACTGAACCTCATCCATAGTTAAAAAAGATGAAATAGTTCTTCCCTACAATTTCACGTTTCTGAAAGCATCACATAGGTTATTGAACTTTTGGATGTGATTCGAACCGGTGAACTTGCTCTCTCATGTGAACAGATAAGTGAAGTCAGTCAGAGATTGATTGGTGTGCCTTACAAAACAGAGAAGTGGAATTCAGTCTCCAAAAGTCAGGTCAAAATCAACACAGATTTACAATTACATTCTCAAAAAGAAATTGGAAATGAAGTGTTTCAAGAGGAGAACGATGGTGAGCTTCAGCTTTATTTTATGCTTGTGTTTTTGATAGTATTGTAGATTCTTAAGTATGTTGACCAGCATATTCACACAATAATACACTCACATAATTATCAGATACTCTTCAGGGATTGTTGGTTTTTGTTTGGTACAGCAACTGCAATGTAGTGTTTTTCTATTCTGTTAATTAATTGCAAAATGTAAGTCCTAAAGTGCTTCTGGAGTTCTTCCAGGAAGCAAGTTTAGGTCCTTGTATGTGTGCGTTATTAGGCTGTGGAAATGGTTTCAGATGTATTGATTTCTGAAACAGGTTTAGCCATTTGGGTATAAGCTAGATTATCTGTAAGGATACTATGTGATCACTGGCAAATGTTTCTGTATTCTGGCTAACAACATAGCTCTAAAACAAATGCAAACAAGAAAAAGAAAAGAGCTTACAGGAAAAGGACAGGGTTTAATATTTCAATACTTTTTGTGAACAAATTATGAAACACTTATACAGTGTAGTATGCATTTTGTTCTGTCACAGAAGAATCACATTCTAGTTTTCTATACAGAACATGTCCCTGTATTGCTAGACTGGTCACCCATGTTAGTAATGTTTTTGGAACATATTAAATACTTCTTCCTTTTAACTAATGCTGTGTTATGACCTTAATTGTTTTCTCTTTTAAACTAGCTTTTCTTGTCAGGTTGAGGCAGGTCAAGCCACAGGTGAAGTGAATACTTGAGATGAAAGCAATCAATTTGAAGGCAGAGAAGTATCCAATTACAACTTTATATTATCAATCACTGTCATAAATTGGTACTTTTAGTTGTTACTATTTGTATAACTTTTACATATGTTTGAAAAATAACAAAAGCTAAAGAACATTGTATAACTATGTAACGACCCATTTTGACATTGTCTTGCATTTAGTTTGACATTTTGTAGCTAATGATTCCAGGTTGCTTTAGTTGAACCATGTCATTCTTCACTTCCTGTAAACCACTCCATAGCTTTGTCTTTCTTCATAACATTAGTTCCCTTTTCTTTGTTTGATTGATGGTCATTGGCTACTGAAATAAAATATGCATTTTAAGGTAAATTGTATGTATTTTAGACAAAAACTTATTTATTTTAAAATGCTTTTAGACTTTTTATTTTGAGACAAAGTGGTGATCATGCTTCTAATCATTTGTGAGGAGGAGGCAGGAGGATCAAACTACAAGATGCTGTATCTCGGGGCTGGAGAGATGGCTCAGAGATTAAGAGCACTGGCTGCTCTTCCAGAGGTCCTGACTTCAATGTCCAGCAACCACATGGTGGCTCACAACCATCTGTAATTTGACCTAGTGCCTTCTTCTGGCCTGGGCAGAACACTGTACACATAATAAATAAATATATATATATAATATATATATATATATGTACATATATATATAGATATAGATATAGATGCTGTGTCTCAAAAAAAGGGGAGGGGATAGAACAACAACAAAAAGATTGGAATAGGATTTCATTATGTAGCCCAGCCTAGCCTTGAACTTCTGATATTCTTGCCTTAGCCTCCTAAGTGCTGGACTTGGAGGAATTCACCACTGCCTGAGCTAGCACATATTTTTATTATTTTTATTTATTTACTTTTTTTGGTTTTTCGAGACAGGATTTCTCTGTATTGTTTTGGAGGCTGTCCTGGAACTTGCTCTGTAGATCCACCTGCCTCTGCCTCCCGGGTGCTGGGATTAAAGATGTGCACCACCAACACCCGGCTTTATTTACTTTTTTCTAGGTTTTCAAGACAAGGTTTCTCTGTGTAGCCCCAGCTGTCCTGAACTCACTCTGTAGACCAGGCTGGCCTTGAATTCAAAGATCCAATTGCCTTTGCCTACTAAGTGCTGGGTTAAAGGCCCTAGTATTTATTTTTATTGCTTGTATGGAACTTTAATAATGAGCCAAGCAGTGGTGACATGCACTTTTTAATCCCAGCTTGAGGTCAGCCTGGTCTACAAATAGAGTTCCAGGACAGCCAGGACTGTTACACAGAGAAACCCTGTCTAGGAAAAAAAAGAACAGAAAAAGAAAAAAAAAAAAAGCTGGATGCAGTGGTGGACATCTGTAATCCCAACACTCCTATAGCAACATGGGAGGTGGAGACAGGAGATTCACCTGTGAGCTTGCAGGCTGGTAAGGTAGCCTGAAATGCTTGGTGCAGCAGCAAAAACAATGAATGAGATTACCTCCACTGGTAGAAGGCAACCTCCAAAAAGCCACACAAACTTAAAAATAGGGCTGTAGTAAGTAGCAGGGAAGAATTGATGAGAATATTATAATCTTAAAAAGTATAATAAAGATGTGATGTTGCTTTTGGCTGGGTATTGACAACAAGATGAGCCTGGTATATCTTTTTTTTTTTTTTTTCTGAGACAAGGTTTCTCTGTGTAGCTTTGTAGACCAGGTTGGCTTCCAACTCACAGAGATCTGCCTGCTTCTGCCACACAAGTGCTGGGATTAAAGGCGTGCACCACCACAGCCTGGCATAATGTGCTGCTTTTTTTTTTTTTTTTTTTGGTTTTTCGAGACAGGGTTTTTCTGTGGCTTTGGAGGCTGTCCTGGAACTCGCTCTGTAGACCAGGCTGGCCTTGAACTCACAGAGATCCGCCTGCCTCTGCCTCCCGAGTGCTGGGATTAAAGGCGCCACCAACGCCCGGCTAATGTGCTGCTTTTTTAAATGACAATACTTAACCCATTTAATTTCAAACTAAGAATACTTAGTTTCTGCTTAGCATACTGTGTCCATTAGATAATGAATTGAATAATATATATATCATTGTATAGTCATCTTAATTTTGAATTGAATGATAAACAAATTAGCATTTGTTTTCAAATAGTCCATCAAAGCCCAGTTTAAGGCTTTTCTCCAACCTTCCTCTCTCATTATGTTTGCAATCTATTTGTGAGCCAGATGCTGTACTCAGCTCTCTGTCAGGATCTCACTCCCTATGTAGCTCAGACTAGCCTTGAACTCATGATTTTCATGCCTCAGCATCCAAGTACTAGGATTATAAGCATGCTAGGACAAATGCTAACTAATGTTAACTTTCTCTTTCCTTTCTTTTTTATTTTTTGAGACAGAGTCTCTTGTAGCTCAGGCTGACCTCAAACTGTCTATATATCCAATGATAACCTCTCCACATCACAAGTGCTGAGGTTTTTGGTGTGTGCCACTATGCCTGGCTTCATGATAGTTTTCTATGTCTGACCTCATGTATCATGCTCAAATCATAAGAGATCTGTTTCAGAACTGTCTTCCAGTTGCTTTCTAGAGGCCTTGCCGTACCTTTCCTATCCAATAAATGGTCAGTAAGTTTGATGGTGGCTTAAATGTACACTGGATCATGCATTGTTTCATCTGTTGACTTAGTTATAGTAATACATATGTGATTAGGAATTAAAGGAGACAGGTATAAAAAATATAGTGAATAAAGAACCAGATCAGCTAGTGATTCCGTGTAAGATAAACTGTATTTTCAAGTTCCTGTCTGCTGTTCCACTGTGTCCTTTATGTTTGCCAGTCCCTGGGAAAACAGGACTCATTCAATGTCCTGTTCATACGTTACTTGTTTTTGAAAGTCTTTTACCAACTTTCTCATTCTACAGAGAGAAATCTGTACTCTATTTATTATTTATTCCTTGAAGACAAGATTCTCTATAGCTTTGACTGGCTTAGAACCTACAGTGATTCTCCTTCAGCCTCCAGAGTGCTGGGTTTATAATTATGTATATCTTGTGATTCTAAATGTTGGTCATATAGCATAGTCCTGATCACATTTTTTTTTTTTTTTTTTTTTTTTTGGTTTTTCGAGACAGGGTTTCTCTGTGGCTTTGGAGGCTGTCCTGGAACTCGCTTGGTAGTCCAGGCTGCCTGATCACATTATTAATCCGCGTGCCCTGCTCTGTTTAGTTTTTGGTGCTGGGTTTGAACCCAGTGTTTAGCGCATGTCAAATATATGTTCATCCACTGAGCCATATCTTTACCTTTGTTATATCTTTGTTAAGTGCAAAGATTTTAAACATAGGTGACTGTGTCCAGAACAGTGAATGACAATGTAACAAAAAATGAAGTTCAAAAGTGGACTTCTTGGGCTGGAGAGATGGCTCAGAGGTTAAGAGCACTAGCTGCTTTCCCAGAGGTCCTAAGTTCAAGTCCCAGCAACCATTTGGTGGCTCACAACCATCAATAAAGAGAGCTAGTGCCCCCTTCTGGTATGCAGGCAGAACACTGTATGCATAATAAGTAAAAAACCTTTAAAAAAAAAGTGGACTTCTTTTTAAGATAATTATTTGGTTGTAGGTTATCTAACATTGAGAATATTCTGTGCCTGTTGAAGCCAAAGATAAGGCCTAGTGGATTTTTTCCCCTTTGTCTTTATTTTAAAAACATGTTTGGCCTGGTGTTGGTGGTGCACACCTTTAATCCCAGCACTCGGGAGGCAGAGGCTGGCGGATCTCTGTGAGTTCGAGGCCAGCCTGGTCTACAAGAGCTAGTTCCAGGACAGCCTCCAAAAGCCACAGAGAAACCCTGTCTCTGAAAAAAAAAAAACCAAAAAAAAAAAACAACATGTTTGCAGATAATTCATGTCCACTTGGACTAGCCTAGATGCTTTGAGGCTTAAAGCAGCATAAAGAGTAATAGTGATAGTTTGCTACAAAGTGTGCTGTACAGGGTTTGGAGGTATACCCTAATGGAAGAACATGACTATAGTATATATAAGGCCCTAGGTTCAAACACCAACACCCAGAACAAAACAAGCAAAAACAGGAAAGTGGGGGCTGTAGAGATGGCTCAGTGGTAACAACACTAGGCCGCTCTTCCAGAGGACCTAGGTTCAATTCCCAGCACCTACATGGTGGTTTACAAACACATGTAACTCCAGTCCTAAGGGATTTTATGTCTTCTTCCAGCCTCCGTGGGCATTGTACTCACATGGTAAGGAGATATATATTCAGGCAAAACACTTATACACATACAATTTTAAAAATTGCATATTTAGGTAAAGCTGAACTAGATAAAGCTGAATTCTATATTTATGTTGCTGTTGCTTTAGCTGGTAATAGTGTGACTTTTCTGAGTTTGTTTTTTAGCAGTGAAATGAATATTAGAAAACCATTTCTCTCTTTTTTTTTTTTTTTCTTTTGTTTTTTCGAGACAGGGTTTCTCTGTGGCTTTGGAGGCTGTCCTGGAACTAGCTCTTGCAGACCAGGCTGGTCTCCAACTCACAGAGATCCACCTGCCTCTGCCTCCTGAGTGTTAGGATTAAAGGCATGTGCCACCAACACCTGGCCTCTACACTGTATTGTTAACTTCATCCTTAGTTCACTCTGTTATTCCCAGAAAATGAGTGCAGACTTCTTTACTGGTCAAATGTATATGTGATCAATATTTCATAGCCATCCATCCATCCATCCATCCATCCAGTATATTAAGTTTTACCTGTATAGGTAGGTGTTTTGCCTTCGTGTAAGTCTGTGTACCACATGTTGTGTAGTGCCTTCCTACATGTATGTCTGTGTATCACAGGTGTGGTATCGATAAAGGCCAAGAAAAATGGCATCAGGTACCCTGGGATTGGTATTACAGACAGTTGTGAGCCACCATATGGGTGCTAGGTATCAAACTGGGGTCCTCTGGAAGAATGAGAGGTGCTTTAAACCAGTGAGACATCTCTCTAGTGCCCACACCCCTTTTTCTTCTAGTTTTTTGAGACAGGGTTTCTCTGTGTAGCCCGAGCTATCCTGGAACTTGTTCTGTATACTAGGCTGGCCTTGAACTCACATAGATCACCCTGCCTCTGCCTCTCAAATGTTGGGATTAAAGACATGCACCACCACCACCTGGCCACCCCTTTTTAATGGGAAATCACTGTTGCTCAAAGTGGTTTCCAACTTGAAATCCTCCTACCTCAATCTCCTAAATGCTGGGATTACAAATATGGATGCACCATACCCAGCAATATTTTTTCTTTATATCACTTGCCCTATGACATTATCAAAGGCTTTTAGAGTTAACCTTAAGTTTAACCTTAAAATTCACAGCGTGACGTTAGTTGGTAGTGCCCACCTTACACCGTTCTCTCTCTCTCTCTCTCTCTCTCTCTCTCTCTCTCTCTCTCTCTCTCTCTCTCTCTCTCTGTCTCTCTCGCAGCTTTGTAGACCAGGTTAGCCTGGAACTCACAGAGATCCACCTGTCTCTGCCTCCCACGTTCTGGGATTAAAAGCATGCACGGCCACCACCTGGCTCCATGGTGTACACTTTTAATCGGCATTCAGCTCAAGGCCAGCCTGGTCTACAGAAATAGTTCCAGGACAGCCAGAGTTACCCAGAGAAATTCTGTCTCAAAAACAAAATACAAAACCAAGCAAAGGATCATATAATTCCTATATTGGTATTTCATCAATAAACAAGGTGAAAGCACAATCCCTATTACCACTCCCTATCCTATTTTTGTCTATAATGTCTCAAAGACTTGCTTTAAACTTTTTAAAATTACATTTGTTCTCTCTCTCCCTTTCTCTGAGAACTGAGATCATCAGTTAGCAGGCTTTACCCACTGACACATCCCCTGCCCCTAGCCTTTTCAGTACAGTGACTGACAAAATGCCTTACTTCCTGCATGCATTCCAGTTTCCTATTAGGATGTCAAGACCTGGAGTATAGAGTATACTCTAGTGATAGCTACAGGGACTGGTCTAAAGAAAACATGGCAGTTTCTCGTCTGCTTTCTGTAGATATCTGTTTAAAATATTAAAATTTTCTCCCAACTCATTCCACAAGCATTTCAGAAAGTTCTTGATATTTCCACCTCTGCTGTAGTAATCTTTTTTTTTTTTGTTTGTTTTTGTTTTTTTTTGAGACAGGGTTTCTCTGTATTGTTTTAGAGGCTGTCCTGTGTAGTAATCTTCTTAAACACTCCTGCCACAGCTTATTTTCATGGTTAAAAGCAGGATTTTATCAAAAGCCCATAGAGCATATTAGATAGCAATTCAGGTTCCAGTCACAAGACTGCTTTTCAAATATTACTTTATCATCCTTGGGCAAATTAACGGAAGCCTCGGTTTCCTTATTTTCCAAGTGGAGAAAACAATACTTAACCTTCAGTGGTATTGAAGATTAAGTGCATTATGAATGTTAGGGGTTTTCTGTATTGCCTGGGACATGTAAGTATCCAATAAACCTTACCTATTCTGAGGATCAAAGAATGTAAAAGTAAAAGAAGCTAAGAAAATAGGATAGGGATGATAAATGGCAATTCTTACTTTATAGTTGAACTAATGATCGGCCCTACTGTCAAATATGAGTATGACAGTAAAGAGTGTGCTTGGAGATGTTGAAAAGCAAGAAACTATACTGTCACTAAAATTTGTTAAGTAAATGCTGTGTCCAAAGAAAGGAACAGGAACTAAGGCTCAACCTCTACTTTCAAAGTACTAGAGTTTAGTTTCCTCTTCAGTAAAGCATCAGTTGTCATTGTCCTCATAGGAATATGGTAAAAATAAATCAGTGAGCCGGGCGTTGGTGGCGCACGCCTTTAATCCCAGCACTTGGGAGGCAGAGGCAGGCGGATCTCTATGAGTTCGAGGCCAGCCTGGTCTACAAGAGCTAGTTCCAGGACAGCCTCCAAAGCCACAGAGAAACCCTGTCTCGAAAAACAAAATAAATAAATAAATAAATAAAAAATAAATCAGTGAAATTCTGAAATTGTGTGTGTCTGTTTTCCTTTTTGTTTTTTCATGATATTTAGGACGACAAGAACTCTTTCAAATGAGAGAAATATGTAAGAAGTAAACAGTATTTTATTACAGAGTATTATTCTAGTACTGTTTCAAATCTAGAAAAGAAATGTCAGAGAAATGTTATGTATAAAAATAATTTGGGCCGGGCGTTGGTGGCACACACTTTTAATCCCAGCACTCGGAAGGCAAAGGTAGGCGGATCTCTGTGAGTTCTAGGCCAGCCTGGTCTACAGAGCGAGTTCCAGGACAGCCTCTAAAGCTATACAGAGAAACTCTGTTTCGAAAAACCAATAATAATAATAATAATTTAGAAGTTATGATATAGTTGTATTTTGGGTAATTAATTATTTTCTAGTTAACATATTGTTCTAAGTAAACATTTAGATCTCAACAAAATTGAAATATGCAAATACGTTATGATATAACATATTACAATAAGACTAAATGGCATGGGAAAATGATTTATATTAAACAACAAAAAGCTAGCCTGGCTAAAATATGGTCTAATTTTGTTAGAAATAGAAAAGTATATAGAAGAAAACAATAGTTGGATGGTGATTACAAGTAAATTTATTTTCTTCTTGAAATCATTTTTAAATAAAACATACATTTCATAGAAACCCTTCAAGACCTAATACTTGGAGCTCACAGTGTTTTGAGTTTCAGCTTAAGATATCTTAAAATACTTTTAGTGTTTGTAGGGTACCACAAAGCAGTTATAGACAGAGAATAAAAAGTTGTAACTCGAAGAGGGAAAACTTTCAATACTAATTTAATTCAGTTATGAAGCATATGCATCCCTGCCTAAAAGGTGTGAATAGATAAATATACACTAGTTTAATGCTACTTTACCATTAAATCATACCTTGTGAATAGCTATTAGCTTGAGAAGGTTCACCTATCATGTCCACTGATAATGAATTGTGTAATTCCTGAGAATTTTTTTCCATTAGCTCTACTGTGTCACTCGATGAAGATGACGATGAAGACAGTCCCAGTCTCACATATCTTCCTTTTTTACCACACAGTAAACAATCTACTGGTGTGGCACTAGGACCCCGGGGCAGATGGACTTCATCTCTGTTGTAGTTCCTAATAGCTCCACTGTGATGCACAGAGCGCTCTCGTTGCCAGATGTAATGGGTTGGTGCAATGGCCATAACCTATAGTGAAATGGTTACTTTGTGAGTTTAATCAAATTTTATAATTGAGTATCAAGTACAGAAATTGTACTTCATGAGCAACTTTTCCTAAAGTAAGATTAAAAAAAAAAAAAAAACAAAAGAAAGGGGAAAAAGACAGTTGTGAAACTAGGCAGTGGTGGCGCACACCTTTAATCCCAGCACTTGGGAGGTAGAGGCAGGAGGATCTCTGTGAGTTCGTGGCCAGCCTGGTCTACAGAGCGAGTTCCAGGACAGTCAAAGCTATTGTTTGTTGTCTCAAAAAACAAACAATAAAAATACTCAAGTTACTAGGTTTAAAATATCTACAGCAGCATTTCAGTAGAGTGATTGCTTGGATCTTTAATATTATAATTGACAAAGTATCTAAATTAATTCAAGCAGATAATAGAAATGAAAAAACTTTTTTTTTGTTTTTGTTTTTGTTTTTTTTCGAGACAGGGTTTCTCTGTATTGTTTTGGAGGCTGTCCTGGAACTCGATCGGTAGACCAGGCTTGGGCTCGAACTCACAGAGATCCACCTGCCTCTGCCTCCCGAGTGCTGGGATTAAAGGCTTGTGCCACCACGGCCCAGCATAAAAACACTTTTTTTTTTTGGTTTTTCGAGACAGGGTTATTGTTTTGGAGCCTGTCCTGGAACTAGCTCTTGTAGACCAGGCTGGCCTATGAAAAAACTTTTAAAGTAGCTATTTATTTATTTAGTCAGTCAGTTTTTTTTGAGGCAGGGTCTCTTTGTGTAGCCCTCACTCTTCTCAAACTTAGAAATCTGCCAGTCTTTGCCTCCTGAGTGCCAAGGAAAGGTGTGTGCTGCCACACCCTGCCAGGATATTTATTTTTAAAATTCTGAATATTTCTAAGTTCATAAAAGATAATATAGTTCATCTAAAACATTACATAATTCTTATTTTTTTTGAGTGTCAGGTTAAAAAAATTAGATTCCTACCTATGTTTGTTAGGCTAATTTTTAAATGCAGTTATATCAAGGGATATGGTAAAAACATGTAAGTTATTTGTTCCTTGGTCTCCTTATTTGTTACACAGTTATAACAAGAGTATGTTTTTAGAAGGTTGTGGTGAGGAAAGAATGCATTTTCATAACACTTTTATAAGGCCTCACTTTCTCTGGCATTGGTGGTACACGCCTTTAATCCCAGCATTTGGGAGGCAGAGGCAGGCGGATCTCTGTGAGTTCCAGGCCAGCCTGGTCTACAAGAGCAAGTTCCAAGACAGCCTCCAAAGCCACAGACTGTCTGGAAAAAAGCCAAAAAAAAAAAAAAAAACCTCACTTTCAGGTTTGTCATACGGTTTGTTAAATAAAGCATGGACTTTAGTTGTAGATTTTCCCTCTTGTCCTGGCTCTACCACTTGCTGACTTTTTTCAAGTTACTTATCCTTTCTGAGGTTCATTTACATCACTGATAAAATGGGAGTGTTAACTACCCCCAAAGATTGTTTTGAGATTCAATATTATATGTAAAGTCCTTACTACACAGTAACTAGCAAGTGATAGATAGCCATTTAAGACATCAAGCTAGGGAAAAGCAGATTAGGATGACTTCATGAAATTCAAAACATCAATGAGTTTTAAGTCAAAACTTTTAGCTTCAGTTATCAATGATTCACAGTGAGAATTATAATAATCCTAAAATGAGAGCCAGACAAAGCCATCCAAGTTGTTACCTAAACTAGTGATTTTTTAAAAATGTTTTAAAACTTCTAAAATTTCAGAGCTATATTGGAGGCCTAGGAAAGACAGGGCAGGCAGCATCAGAGGAGCTCAGTGTTAGGGGTGTATGCATGAGGTGTATAGTTTTGTTTGATGAGAAAAGACTCTTGTTAGGAAAATAGACTACTACTAGATTAGTCTGTTCAGCAAATGATGGTGGCGTGACTTTACCAAGCAAGTGCTGTACCACTGAGCCACATCACAAATCTCCATGCAAGTTTCTTAAACTTTATGTGTGGGGGCTGGAGAGATGGCTCAAACGGTTTAGGGCACTGACTGTTCTTCCAAAGGTCCTGAGTTCAATTCCCAGCAACCATATGGTTGCTCACAACCACCTTGAATAAGCTCTGATGCCCTCTGCTGGCATGCAGGCAGAAGATTGTATATATAATAAATAAAATATTAAAAAACTTTATGTGTGTATTTATATACACACATGTAGATGAAATATAATAAGTCTATAAATTAGTAAATATGTATATAAAGATATATAGGCATTAAGTGTATACATGAAGATGGTGGGGAGAAGAGAGAATATGATTCATATAACTCAGGATGGCTTTGAACTCACTATATGGCTAAGGATGACCTTATCCTTTAATTTCTGGTCTTCCTGTCCACCTCCTAAGTGCTGGGTTTACAGGTGTATCATGCCCTGTTTATATGGTCCTAGGGAATGCTAGATAGGTACTCTACTAATTGAGCTATACATTTTAAGTATACTTTAAGATTCAATTTGTGTTGGGCGTTGGTGGCACATGCCTTTAATCCCAGCACTCGAGAGGCAGAGGCAGGTGGATCTCTGTGAGTTGGAGACCAGCCTGGTCGACAAGAGCTAGTTCCAGGACAGCCTCCAAAGCCACAGAGAATCCCTGTTTCGAAAAAAAAAAAAAAAAAAAAAGAAAAGAAAAGATTCAATTTGTTCTTAGTTCTTTAGGACCTTGGATAAATTAGCTAACTTTCTATATCCTGGAGTATCTTTTATATACAACTGTCAAGTGCTAAGTCAGATCCCATGAAATAGATTTCTCTGAAACATTGGTAGTAGTTGACCTACTAGAAACAATTTCCTCCTTTTAAAAAACTTTATCATTAGGGATATTTTGTTTTGGTGCCTTTGACAAAAAAGAAGATTGAGTAGTTTTTTGGTTCCCAAGAGAGGGTATCGGCACTGACCCTGCAATTAGAGTGCCTGTTTCAGCACTGGCACACTGCCTTACTAATGGTGCTTTATCTGTCCCTCGCCTGCTATTACCTGAGAGGTAATTTGAGTGTGGTGATTAGAGCCACTCCTGACAGGCTCTCAAAGACTTGAAGGCTTGTCTTCACTTGGAATCTTTACAGCATTTACTATAACTTTATTTTATACTGGGTGACAAGGCCATTTTCATGCAAGTACTCTAAGCATATACCCTACACCTTGCTACCCTCATCCTTTTCGTTCCTTCCCTTCCCTATTATTTCTCTTTATACTTTTGCTGCTTTTACTTTCTTTTTAAAATTTATTTTATTTATTATTATTACTTGAGACAGTGTCTCTTTATGTAGCCCTGGCTGGCCTGGAGACCAGGCTTGGCCTCAAAGTCACAGAGATCCACCTGCCTCTGCCTCCCATGTGCTGGCGTTAAAGTTTTGCACCACTATGCCTAGCCATACTTTCATGTCAGCTGTATGTATATGGTTTGGTGCATCTCTATAAAAATCTAAGGTGCACAAAATAGATATGTAGTATTTGCGTTTTTGAGGTCTACAGAGTAGAAAGACAAGAAAGGAAAATAAAAAAGGTAAAAGTATGAAAAGAAGTCAAGGTATCCTTATTTTTAGATGATGTAATTTCATTCATAAAGTCCACAATCCCAAGATTCCACCAGAAAACCCTTAGATCTGATAAACACGTTCATCAAAAAGGCAGTATATAGTAATAAAACAAACATATAAAAATCAGTAGTCTTCCTATATACCAATAAAGACATGCTGAGCAAGAAACCAGAAAAACCACAGGCGGTGGTGGCGCACGCCTTTAATCCCAGCACTTGGGAGGCAGAGGCAGGCAGATCTCTGTGAGTTCAAGGCCAGCCTGGTCTACAAAGCGAATTCCAGGACAGCCTCCAAAGCCACAGAGAAACCCTGTCTTGAAAAACCAAAAAAAAAAAAAAAAAAAAAAAACAGAAAAACCATCTTATTCACAACTTCTTCAAAAATAAAAAAACAAGCAAACCTTGAAAGAAACTTAACCAAGGAAATAAAAGACCTTTACAATGAAAATGTATTACGAGGCTTTAAGTATCATTTATATGTGCTGATTCTCTATAGTTATTACTCAGTTATCATCCTAAATTCCTGTTTAAATACCAAATTCCTTAACTTTCCAACAGAACAGTTTGATTCTCTCTCCTTTCTTATTATATAACTCCACATTCTTCCCATTACATAGATCTGAAACCAATGACTTCCTTTCCCACATATGCTATAGCCAACTTATTACTAAGTCATGACAATTATAATTTTATAACATTTCTAATATTGGCTCCACTTCCAGAGCACTGCTAACTAGTTCTTAACTATAGCAAGTTTAGCTCTTTCCAGTACATTCAAATAGACAGTTTTTGCATACTTTGTTTTACTTTGTCCAATACTATTGCTCCCTAAATTACTAATCTGAAATCAAGTAGTAGCTAACAGAAGTTAGCTGTAATACTGTAGCAACTACACCAGAGTAATAAAGCAGCATAAACAAAAACTTCCCCTTTAATCAACTGTCACCCTCTATGACACATGAAAGATGCTGGGATGGAGTCTCTCTCAGTGGATAGGCACCCTCTATAATCTGTTAACCAGTCTAGAAATTAAGCCATCATCAATGTAAATTAATTTCACTTCAAAGGAACTATGTCTAAAAAGAAGCCAAGATCAGAGTTGGCAGGGAAATAGTCTTCATTCTTTCTGGAAAAGCCATTTATACACACACACACACACACACACACACACACACTCACACTCACACCACGTATTTGTATGTATATGTATATATATAGTGTGTTTTATTTGCATATAATTATAGTTCACCTTCTTCAAACAAGTATGTAAGAGAGCTGAACACAAAACTGGGAGGGAGTGCTGGAGAGATGGCTAAGCTGTTAAGAGCACTTGTTGCTCCTGCAGAGGACCTGGGTTGGATTCCTAGCATGCACGTAGTAGCTCACAACTATCTGTATCTCAGTTCCCGAGAATCTAATATTCTCTTCTGTAAAGGGAA